TTCCTTCCTTCCTTCCTTCCTTCCTTCCTTCCTTCCTTTCTTTCTTTCTGGTGTAGTGTGCCGCTCTACATTTCCAGTTGTTGTTGCTTCCGGCCACTTTCGTGATGTGTTCCTAGTTGTTTGGAGACTCCTAGTGGAATTAATTGGAATTGATTCCATGTGGTAGAACTCATGACTAATTAAATAAGATTAGACACTTTCTTAGAATACTCTTGTGTGGGGGCTGGATTTACTAATTAGTAATGCATCAGCGTTAGTTGTTTCAGGAGATTTGTTTACGTTATATGCTCATTATCTGATTTATGAGTGCTGTGCAAGTTGAAATTTAACAAACATGCTTTTAAAGTGGCAAATTAAGGTCAAGCTGAGAATAGAAATGTTCATACGTGTTGTCTTTTTCCTCTTCTTTCTACCAGTTAAATACTGGGGGGGTGGGGGGGAGGCGGAAGAGATTTTCAAATTGAGCAGCATTGAAATCATGTTGTATTTCCATGTCAGGTTGCTCATTTCTCTAAGCAGTGCCGTTTTAGAGATAAAACCAAGCATTAGGGTAGAAATTGCTTGCTTATGGCCTATCCAGTATGGATTCAATTTTCTAAAGAGATAGAAAAAGTGATCTGTGTTTTTTTCCTGCGGTTCAGTGCCCTGTTGAATAAAAGTGGATTTTAGACCAGACTTCTCCATCTCAGTCCCGCAATTAAAACAAGATTGAGTTCAGACTGTTAATGGAGCTAAACTTCAAGTCATACTTCAAGGAAGCTAGTTGCAATAATTGACTAGTTACACCTTGAATTATGTCTGCCTTTAGATGGCAACATTGATTGAACACTAAAGACTTCCTCTCCTGTTACAGGAATAGTTAATCAGTCTTAGTTAAAAGCTAGAACACAAGCTGGATTGTACCACAATAGCTTTCCCTCCTGTTTGTGATGAGCTTTGAAATGAAGAATCTTATATATCATGAAGTATATTGGAATAAATAAGTATAGCAGAATTTAATACCACATGTGGCATGTTGCTGAGAAATTTTGGGAATACACCCAGAATACAACAATAGTTTCAAACTAACTTTCCAAATACTGTAGCTTTGCTCGAGTTATTGTATGAAATAGAAATATAGTGCTATGTGTACTTTCTAAAAATATTTTAGAATACATAACACAAAAGAGAAAATGTTCTAGTCACAACTGTATGGGTCAAACAAAACAAATGAAATTAGCCATTGGGCAAGACTAAGAACCTAACAGTTTTGCTACTGTTCCCAGAGAAAATGTTTTTGTTTAGCAGAATAAGAGATTGCTGCTTAAGCAGCAGTGACCCTGAGTTTCTGTAATAAATCTTGAAAAGTTTTTAAAAAGCTAGACCTGTGTCGTCTTTTGAAGGACGTTTCAAAAGTTACAAGCTGATAAAAAACTAGGTTTTTGCTCCTAAAGTAAGTGGCTGTCTGGAAGTCTTCAGTATCTGCTGAACCATTAGTTAGATGTCTACCCCACCTTTTATTCATGAGCTCAAGATCAGATACATCATGTTCCCTTCTCACATTTCCCCCCCTACATTCCAATGATGTATGCTGGGCTGGGGGAGAGTGGTCTAGAGTTGCTGACTGAGCTGTGCCTGAGGGTTGTTGTTTAGTTGTTAAGTCGTGTCCGACTCTTCGGTGCCTGAGGGTGGACATGAACAATTGGGTCTCCCCAATTCCAGTCCAACACCCTAACCATTATACCACCCTAGCTCAGATGTGCTACTTCAGCAGTTTGAAGAATTGTGATGAAAGCAAGGATAAGTTGATTAGAAGTAAGGTATTTTGGTGTGGGGTGGGGGTGCTGGTGACCATATTTGGAATTTTGGCAATGTATTCTGGAGATTAAGTGGCAAATATGTTATGTGTAACCAGTTACATAGCAGCCATTTACCGAAAGGAAATCTGGTGAGGTGGTTGTTCTAACTTCCCAGGATGTCTCTATCATCCTGGCTTACCATTATCTTCAGAAGTAAGTGGACAGCTTTCCAGTAAAACAGATTCTATTATTTTTGTTTTCTAAGAATCCCTGAAAGTCTTTGAGAAGCATAGAAGCATTCTAGTAAAGAATGATAATGTTGGAACCTGGTAGTTTGAGTCATAGCCTGCCAATTTCTCAAGTCTATGTTGGAAGGAAGGAAGGAAGGAAGGAAGGAAGGAAGGAAGGAAGGAAGGAAGGAAGGAAGGAAGGAAGGAAGGAAGGAAGGAAGGAAGGAGCGAGCAATTGGGACATGGTGCCTACCTAATCTTTATCCTACCTTTAGGACCACATTGTATATTTTGGTGAAGTGAACAGCCAGGCAGTACATTATCAAAGCTTCCAAGTTACCTTAGAAATTAACTTCTTGTTTCACATTAGATGTATTTCGAGAATTCTTTCTAAGGCTTTGCAGCATAATCTTAGTGATCAAAATGTCATAAATTATAGACCCAGTTTTCCAATTATAAGTTTTTGTTTTGTGTTGAATCTAAATTAGCAGAATGAAAAGAATATATTGCATGAATTAGCTCTTTGGAAAGCTGAGTGGTTGAATAGATGGGTTTAAAATGGTGTCGTGCAATACCTGCACTCAGGAGGAAGTTTCTGTGATGACAGTATGATTGATACCTTCTGAGGAGTATTTACTCATTTATTAGTGAGAAAATAAGAAAAGGTTTGAACACAAATGAAAAGAGGGAGCTCTAAATTTAATTTGTTAGGTAACACACATTTTCTTGTTTTCTTGATTTGAATAGAACCTTCAGATAAAAACTTTGGCAGATGATGTGGTAAGATCCTCATATGTGGGTTTGTATTATTTCTAGTGCATGTTGCTTATAATATATTGCATAACTTTAATTATAAATAGCAATTTGAGACATATGAAGTGTTCCAATAAATAACCACTAACATCCTAACTGGTTCTCATATTTGGGTCACATGTTGGTCTTTACCAACATCTTCTCTCTCCTCCAACTAATTGTTGAGAAATGTATTCCAAGGAAATCTCAAAATTAAAGGCTGGTTGCAGTGACTAATGGTGTTGGCAGATCAAAATCAGTATCTGAGTACCAGCCTTCCATGAGTTGATATAATTTTAATTTTTCTAAAATGGGAAGTAGGTAGATTCGCCTGATGCCACGTCGTACTCTGATTCCAAAGCCCATTGTTGTTATCAACATGCCACTAATCTGTGCTATCTGCATGTCAATTATGGCACAGTTGGCTACGAATGAGATGTTTGTTTATTTTATTTTATTTTTTAAAAAAACCTTGAATCTCCAGTTTAACAGATACTATAAATTCAGACCTCCTTGGAGGAAATTGGCCATTACTGCAATTTTGCACTCTTATGTACTTGGAGCATTGGTTGTCTTGCAGTTCATATCTCGTTTCAGTGGAATCCTCCTTAATTTATTGAGTTGCATCCGGCTAATTCATATCATGCAGATTTCGCATCATACAAAATGGCCCCCAGTCTTTGGCTGATCCTTGTTATACTGAATATATTCAGTCTAAGCAAAGCAGAAATAGATGCTTTTCTACTAATACACAACCAGGCGTGCATGCACTGCTAAAAGAAACAATAGATTAAGCCATTCTGCCTGCAACATTGTGCTTCTTAATGTTATCTTCAACTAATGTTATTAAGCATGTAACTTTACCTTATATAAGGCAGCTTTACAGCTGATTTGTTTCTATGATGAGACTGTACTTATACCTTGGAGTCCTTTAAACTGCTTTGATTCAGGCCTTACATAAGCAACCTAGTTTAAATATTCTCCAGTTAACAGTTTATGGAAATGATGGCCCTTTTAGACTATGATGTATACCTATACAGCTGAAGCTGAATGCAGCATGATTTTGTAAATTTATTATATAAGAACAAAATTAAGTGTTAGATATCCAACAATGTTCTCAAAATCTGAGTGTTTTTTAAATAACTTATTTTAATTTTATAAATGAAGTGGGTTTTAGTATTGGCCTAAAATAGACTTCATAGAAGAACGTATTTCTAGAATCTCAGTGAGATTGTGCCTTATTTATTGATTAATAGCAGGAGGAATGGATGCAGAATAAGAATTGGATCAATTTAAACCTGGCTTTTCTTGTTTCAAAAGTTATTTGGTTCAAGACCTGGAGATTCTATATTTTAATAGACCATATATCATCCTGATTCTAAGCAATAGGCAAAGATTAGGTAAAACAAAACATATGAAGTACAGTCTCAAAAATAAGTTGTATGGCTTAATTTTTGGCATGATTATTACTGTGTTGTTAGCATGTGAAGTAATGAGTAAATGGATTTTCCCCTAGACATCAACATTTAAAAATATTTATTTTCTTTTTGCAGCGTGACAGAATAACTAGTTTTAGGAAATCTGGTGTCAAAAAGGAGAGACTTCTCATTCAGCACCCAATTGACTCACAGGCTTCTATAAATGAATTGCCAGTTGCTCAGCCACTGTTTGATGAACGTTCAATGAATTTATCAGAAAAAGAAGTTATGGACCTGTTTGAAAAAATGATGGTAAGCTTTATTTTCTCAGTGGACATGTATCTATATTATGAACAGCATATTATATGAGAGTTCTGTGTTATTAGTCTTTACAACTATGAAATCACTGAACTTCTGAGTAAAACAGTTCCTCTCCTTAAGAAAACTAATTAAAAGTTTAAGGTTTGATGATGGATCAGTAAGTGAGGGTTCTAACATGGCTTTGACATTAGTTTTCTTGAGTAGAGGGCTAGAAAGCACATTTTACTTCATATACAAATGCCAGCAGACAGCCTTGTGACATTTTCATCTTCTCGGTGACCACATAATTGCATGTAATAGCTTGATGATGTCTTATCCCATAAAGACAATTTTTCAGTAGTTTCCAATTAGCTGCTAATAGTTTCCAACTCAAAGTACTGTGTAATGTTTAGGATGCTTATGGGTATGGAACAAATTCACCAGTGAGCGAAAGTGTATTTGAAAATGAAAGTCGTCCAATAAATAAACCTTATTTCCGTTATTTCCTGATGGAAGTTACAAAGCAAACATTAAGAGTTTTGTTGGGAAGATTACAAAGATTTTAAAGCAGCTCCTACCTCGTATTTATCACTGGGTTAACTTTTTACAGCAAAAACAAAGAGGCCATTCCCTTTTTTATGGAATATATGTTTTGAGGCTATAGTCCATTTAATTAGATTCATAAAGTGTTAACTGAGCTATGTTCTGCAGTTTATTTTTTTGAACAAAACATGTTGAAGCTTACTACCTAATAACAATGATTGCATTGTGAACAACAATTTTATGAATGGGCATTTGTTAATTGTATTATTGTCATTGTTCAAACTTCCTATGTTTTATTTTCCTATAGCCTCTCTCCCATCCACAGTGAAACCTTGCTTTAACAGACTAATTGGGGGAGGGGGTGAAGTTATTCAGAAATGTCCAGTCAATCAGAAAGTAGGGCATTCTGGCGATTGATTTACCTAATTTACACAGTAATGTTCTTACAGAAATTCTGCAACTTGTATCAATTTATGACTTTCGCATGGTGATATCTTTCTGCAGATGTCAATTGCTTAATGATGGCATGGCACAAATGATATAATTTTTTGCAAATTATGTAATTTGCAACAGATCTTCAGTCACTTGTATGCAAAGTCCATCATGCTGAGGTCTGGTAATATATATAGGTTTCGGTCTATAATACTTAAGCCATTACAAAAAAAATATTCTTAAGGCTCAATTGTTATTTTGCTGTTTTTATTTCATGTAGGTTGCTGTTGCTTCAAGTTCAGATTTTTTTTTTTTTTTTAAAAGGACAAACCCTTTTGTGAAACTTTCATGAGATTTTTTCATGGGACTCAGGTGTAAATATTTTCATGGCAATCATTTGACTTCTTTAGTTAGTTATCTGGGGACTAAGCTTTGCTTGCTCTCTTGTATGAAGTACCATATTGGAGGTTTATTTGCTCTCTACTTTAGAGTAAAGAGCCTCAGCTGACAGCGGCCCTTGGCTAACCTTGTCTGGCTTGGCAGCTCGGTGTGTGTCTGTATCTGTCTGGTTAGTCCTTGGACAGATGATAGTCTGAAAAATCAGAAAAGATCCTGGCCCATGGCATTGGCAAACCACTTCAATACTGATGCCAAGAAGATCATATGGATGAGCGGTCACGTGCCGCAAGGAGTCGAACATCAGCTTGCTTTTCCCTTTTAAATGGGCTGTAATGTAGTGGGAATAGGGTGCCCTGTATTATTTAATCTTTTAATGAGAGCAAATAAATTCTGACGAATTTCTTGGCACTTCCATATCCCACTTCATGTGCATTCTGACATACTACGGAGCTAAAGAATAAAAGTAGTAAAGCAACTGTCCTCTCAAAGCTGAACGGAGCATAGCTGAAAATACAAAAACTAATCTGTTACAGTATGATATTTTGGATGGACTTGCTTTTGGAGCAGTCTAGCATGTGGTTTGGCATCCTAACTTAATATAGATTTTTAGTGAATACTGTGTTTTAAACTCTGAAGTAGAAAAACCCAGCCGTTGGAAAGCTTTCTCTTTCACCTGAAGTCAAGCTCTCCCCTCTGCAGAATCGGATGACAAATATAAAAAAATACCATTGACTGAAAGGCTTCGTCCCTGTGGTTTTGGAGAGGGGGAAACCCCAGAACATGTTCTTCTTTTACAGAGACACTCAGATCAGATTTATCCTCCCTCTGATTAGCAGATATCCTGGTCGTTCAAACTTGGCCTATGCCCAGATGCTTCTCATAGATGAACTGCCTTTTATTACCGTGCAATGGGGCTAGGTTTTGCTCAAAATCATATAAGATCCACTGGACCTTGATGGGCCAAATGCCTGCTACACAGATGTAATATCTAATGTATTAAATTTAATGTATCTATATACATATCTATGTAATCTTAGATATTATCCATGTTTTCTGTAATTTTACATATCACATTTTATGTACATTTTAGATACCATCACATTTTTGTAATTTTAGAAGTTATCACATTTTTGTAATTTTAGATTTGTGCCCTTCTCGCTTCCCAAGATAGGTCAGACTAATACTTTTAACAGCATCTGCAGTTTTCAACACAAATCTCTAAATTTCTGCTTCAGTTTATCATTATAAAGAGTACCTACAAAGCTTTTTTCATGAAATCCTTTAAAATCACATTTTATATAATTTTAGATACTACTTTATAAGCTAGATAGATTCCTAATCATGTTGTTTTATAAATGTATTTTAATATTGTCTTACATTTTATTTACTGTCTCTTAAGACAGATTTATAAATACTCACAGAGCACTGATGGACACATTGCTTGTACTCATTTAAGACTGTAATAAACTGAAACTCTGAAGTAAAACATATATGTGTGTGTGTATTAAATATAGTGCTTAAATTTAAAGTTGATTGGAATTTAAACTCAGCTTCAGATTAGCTTTATCACAGTCATTCCTAAGTATTTTAAAATTCGGGGTTCATTATATCAAAAGAAAACATTTGAAGCCATGTTTAATGCAAGTTATGGTAACCATATTTTCAGGATCTTGTCCAATTTTTTAATGTGATAATGTGGCAGTAGAGAAAATAGTAAGTGTCTTCAATCCTCACACTGTTTTCCAGCAATTCTAAATTTCTATTGGAATAAATATTCTTTGATGACCTATTACAGTTTTTGAACTGAGGCAGATATCTCTTCCTATGTGGATGTGCTAATTCCAGTCTCAGCTTTGGGTATAATATGGGGGCTGAAGAGGAAGAGTTTGAAGTGTACATTAAAGCTGTTTCCATAAACTAATAGCTTAGGATAATGATGAGAAATAGCCTGTCTAAAGTAAACCAGTCATCCCTATATTTTCCCTAGATGTAGAGCAATTCTTAGCATCTGCAGTCATGAAGATTAAGTAAAACTATGACATAATAATCCAATCTTGGCAATGTTATGCCTATTTATTTATAGGAAGACATGAATCTAAATGAAGAACGAAAAGCTCCTTTACGGAATAAAGATTTGACCACAAAACGTGAAATGGTTGTCCAGTACATTTCTGCAACTGCCAAATCTGTAAGTAGAATTTGTACCTCTCTCACTTCCCAAGATAGGTCAGACTAATACTCTTAACAACATCTGCAGTTTTCCACTCAAATCTCTAAATTTCTGCTTCAGTTTATCATTATTAAGAGTACCTACAAAGCTTTCCTCCTGAAATCCTTTAAAATGCCTTCAAGGATAGATAAAAGCCTTAATTAGAATGTATTGCATATCTCACAACTGCATGGTAATTTGAAACACGATTCTCTCTTTACAGTAAACCAATAAGTATTCTAAATCCACTGCTCTGGAATAATCATCAGGCTTTTTCACCGTATCTCTTGCATGCATGATAGCAAAAATCTGGACTTTCTGATTGAAGGTGCAAAAGCGTCTTTCATAACTGCTTGCCTGTTGACTGATGCTATAAATTTGGTGCGATTTTAAATAAATGCTGGGATCAATGAACTCATTTTCCTAGGCTGTCTTGCCTTGTGATGTTTCCTATCCTGTCTTGTGATGTTTAAAACTGTTTGGTCCAAGAGTGATCCTACATACTGCTGTTAGGACTGTTATTTAAAATTCTCTGAGAATTTTGCAAGCAATGCTCTCTCTGTGAAGTAGTTTTACAAAAGGCTCTTGATTCTAACTGGTTGTTTTAAGATACAGATACAAGGGCAAGCAGTCAACACCTTTCAGGGCCTAATAAAGCAGTCTGCCCTTGGTTTGGTGGTACTGAATTCTGTGGAATTACATCGTAACTCATTTTTCAAGTTTTAAAATACTGTACTTCAGATACGTTTATACAAATTATACAGTGGTACCTCGGGATACGAACGCCTCTACTAACGAACATTTCGGGTTACGA